GTGCATGACGCCATGTTTTAGCTGGTTTGAAGTAGTGTACTACTGGATGGGCTTGAAAATGTATGATTTGGTCGCAGGAAGACAACTGTTGCACTTATCAAGATATTATTCTACAAAAGAGTCTGTTGAGCTCTTTCCCACTCTGGCAAGGGAGGTCAAAGATAGAAGCCTAAGGGGCACAGTTGTTTACTATGATGGACAGATGAATGATGCACGACTTAATGTTGGATTGGCTTGCACTGCTGCTTTAGCTGGTGCAGCAGTGCTGAATCATGCGGAAGTTGTATCCTTACTGAAGGATGATGATGGAAAACGGATAATTGGTGCACGAATTCGGGACAATTTAAATGGTAAAACTTCCTTTTATTTCTCTGTTCTGGAGACACTGAAGGATTGCACTGTACTTTTAAAACATAATTTAGGATAATATATGAATAGTTTAAGGAGACTTAGATGTTACATGTAATACACATGCAATCTGAAGCATTATTGTCCCACGTGGATTTTTAGATTGAACCACCTTCACAGTGAGGGTCCCCCCTCCCTTAAAGGAGTAAACTGTTAAAATCTCTGCAGCTGGAGTAGAAGTATTGATCTTAGATAAGTCAAGTGTGAAGCTCTAGATTTTGCATCATGGAACAGTTTTTACTTGAAGTTTCCTATGCTGTTATTTTTATGCACACAGTTGATTCACTTACTGAGCAATTAATCAATGTCAACTATTTATCATGAATTGAAAGATGAAATATTATTTAATAGAAATTGAAAGACAAATGACTTGCCTCTGTGTGTGGGATGTATGTTAAAACAAATACATTACAGTTTTGGGAGCACATCTTTATCTTTGAGTTTTAAGAATGAAAATTAAATATTAATTATTTGTAGCATGATAGTTAATTACGTTTATTTATTATTTTACATGATGCAGGCAAAGAGTTTGATACATACGCAAAAGTAATTGTGAATGCCGGTGGACCATTTTGTGACTCTATAAGGAAAATGGCCAACAAAAATGCACAGGAAATGATTTCTCCAAGCAGCGGGGTGCATATCATACTCCCTGATTATTATTCCCCTGATGGAATGGGCCTAATTGTCCCTAAAACTAAGGATGGACGCGTTGTTTTTATGCTGCCATGGCTAGGAAGAACAGTTGCTGGAACTACAGATTCTAGTACTAACATTACTTATCTCCCAGAACCACATGAAGATGAAATACAATTTATATTAGAGGCCATCTCCGATTATCTTAATGTTAAAGTATGTTATACTTGCCATAGATGACTATTTTTACTAGTTATTTTCCCCCCTTATATTTTCTGAAAAATTGGTGCGGACAGAACTCAATGATGTCATGTTTGATTCACGAAATTCCCACCCACTAGGAAAAGGATTTGGTTGATGTTATTGTGTTTTTCCTCTCTCTTATTTCTGATGTTAGATTCGGAATTAAAAGATCTCATAGATATTGCTTGTTTGGAAATATGTTGGATTGTCTCAGCAAAAAAAGACTATTTAACATCATATATATGTTGGTTCCATTTTTAAATAATTTAATTTGGTCATTGTGGGAACCACCTCCCTGTTCTTTCATTGTTAATTGGGTTTTTCCTTGTAATTATTGATTAAATGCAAGCAAAATGATACTAAAGAGTAGCCATTCAATCTAGATGTCTTTTGTTGTCTTTGAAAAAATTAACAATTGCATTTTCCATATTACACTGTTTTAGGTACGCCGTAGTGATGTTCTTTCTGCTTGGAGCGGCATTCGCCCATTAGCAGTGGATCCAACAGCCAAAAATACTGAGAGTATCTCAAGGGATCATGTTGTCTGCGAGGATTACCCTGGTTTGGTCACCATCACTGGTGGCAAGTGGACTACCTATCGTAGGTAACTATTTAATGGGCAGCTGAAGTTGCTTTGTTGAAGTCTGTTCAGATGTTGTTTCACTAGCCAGTCATATTGTAAATCATGTTTGCAATCTATTTACTCTATCTAATGAGTAATAATATTCAAATATAATTTAGCTTATACGGTTTTAACTCAGTGTTGCCTTTCTTTCTCATCAGCATTCCAGCAACATCAGTTTTTTTCTGACTACAATGTGTTTTCAGCATGGCAGAAGATGCTGTTAATGCAGCTATAAAGTCTGGAAAGCTGACCCCCACTAGTGGATGTGTGACCAACAATCTCCGCATTGTTGGTGGTGAAGGGTGGGAGCCTTCTTCTTTTACAGTTCTTGCTCAGCAATATAAGCGCATGAAAAGTACACATGGCGGTAAGGTTGTTCCCGGTGTAATGGATTCTGCTGCTGCAAAACACTTGTCTGGTGCATATGGATCATTGGCTGAGCGTGTGGCTGCCATTGCTCAGGTTTGCTTGTATTACTTTATATTTCATATTGTTAATTTCATTGAGCAACAAATATATACAAATGCATCTTAATGTAAAATAGAATGTGTGATTGTTACCATCTGTGATCCGGTATCATGTTAGCAAGTAGCAACTTTTCCATTTAAATAATACCACAATGCTCTGCTTTGTATGTTTTCTTTCCATTTGTTTTTTTATGTAGTAAGCCTTACGGCTGTACATTTTTTCTTGAAAATACTATGATGGTGTTTCATTTTGGATTAGTTTGTTATTTCAGAATTTTAAAGATTGAGCCCGATTTTGTCTGAATATGACACCATCTGTACCTATTAGGGATATATGAGATTATGGTCCAAATAGAAAACGCTCTTGTATGTAACTCGATTTCTTGAACATGTACCAGAGCAGACATTGGAACATGAGCATAGGGTGTTTTCTTATTATTTATTTATTTATTTATTTTTCCGTTGTGGTTATTCTGTTATTATCCAAAGTATACATCAGTTTGTGCATATATTTAGTCTTACAAGTATGACATAAAATTATGAACTGATGTCTATTTTGATTCTGTATTGTTTTTGTTTTCTTCTTTTAGAATGAAGGTTTGGGTAAACGACTTGCCCACGGTTACCCTTATCTGGAGGCAGAAGTGGCCTACTGTGCTCGTAATGAGTATTGTGAATCTGCTATTGATTTCATTGCAAGGAGGACTCGTCTTGCTTTCCTTGAAACTGACGCAGCACGAAAGGCATTGCCTCGTGTGATTGAAATATTGGCAAATGAGCACAAGTGGGAGAGTTCAAAGCAGAAGGAAGAGTTGGAGAAGGCTACAGAATTTTTGAAGACTTTTAAATCCTCAAAAAATGCTCAGTTCCATGATGGGAAACACAATTAGCATTGTACCTCTCTCTGCCACAGTCATCAATCAATTTAAGGAATCAAGGGCCACATTTTAGTTTACCCCTCAATCTCATATTCGGATTCTGTTTTCTGCTTTCCATTCCCACGCCCCAGTAATATTTTATATTTATTTGTTCTTTTAACAATTCAGGTTATACAAAATAGAATTGACTTAAGTGAAGCAGTTTCGCACAGTAATTTTATCAGTTGTGTTAATATCTGTAAAAAATGATACCAGTTTTTATAGTTGATGAAGATACAGAAATGAAAAGTTCTTATTGAAAATAAATGAAATCATTTTTTATATATTTTATTTTCAAGATAATAAATGTTTTTAATAAAAAATTATGCTTTTGCATATTTAACGTAACCGGGCTTTTATTAGGATCACGATGATATCATCTTTAGTTTATCTTTAAGTATTAGAGGATAAACCAATTCAAAAGACTAGTTTCGTAGCTTAAGTACCTTGTTAAGTATTTTATTTTACTCAGGTTAAGAATTTCACATTAAGAGTTGATAACCAAGGCGTCCTCACTGTTTTTATTTTCTTGTTATTTTAATATTTAATTATAACATTTTTAAAAATAATGTAATATTTTAATAGAAGAAAGAACTTGTCCAAGGATTAATTTGCCAACTAGTATATTAAATTTAACTAATATAAACATAAGTTACCCATAAAACTATACAATCTTTTTCAAATGAGAAGGTTAAATTAGTTTTTAAGTCTTTTTCAATTACATAATTTAATTTGATCATTTAGTATAACATGTTTAATTTAATTTTTAAAAAAAATATTTAATGTTATACTTTTGTTTAAATTGACATTAATGATAATTGTGATTTTATTTTTGGTATGAATGAGAATACGATAGTAAAATTAGATTAAAGAATAACATCAGATGTATATTTTTTAAATTAGAAGACCAATTTAAATATTTTATAAATAAAGAAATCCAATTAAGTAATTTGAATAAAAATATATAAAAAAGTAATTTAATGTCCTATTTATAATCCTCTCATCTAACCTCATTTTTTTTTTCTGTTATATAAATGAATTTAATTTTTTGTTACCTATTTAACATTTCCTACTATTAGATAATTCCTTATTTTTTTCTTTTGTGATCTAGGCATCTTTAAGAATTAACCAAATCAATCTAAAATTGAAAAAATATTGTGGGGATATTTTTCAAAAAATTAAAAATTAAAACAATTTTAAGATAAATAAAAAACGATCATTATATATAAGTAAAAATTATTTTCTCAATTATTATTCAATTTGATTTCTCTATTTTTAAATATTTAATTTGAACATAAGTGTAAGATTTAGTATTTTAAAAAATAAAACAAACCAAATTAAATAATGTAAATAGACTAAATCCGCATGCTTTTAAAATTGAAGAATGTTAATAAATGTTAATATTCTGTCTAACATTTTTTGTGACACTATTAATATTGACTGATATTTTTGAAAATAAAAATAAAATTCATTAAATTTTATATCTTATTTAGTGAGTTTTTCCTTATTCAATGGTGTAACCCAATAAATTTGTAATTTCTAATAAAGTGTGTAAGTAAAAGAGTGTTGACAACATTTTTCTTTAATTCGTTGATACCAAAATTACATAGACTTGACCACCCTTAATCCAAAGTTAAAGAATGGAAACATTTTATTTTCTTATTATTTAAATAACTCAAAAAAAAAACTCAAAAAATACACACTTGTTGTTGTAACTCCTTTATCCTTCCCAGCAAACAAGAGAAAATTGTAACCCACTGCTTCACACAAAAATGGCCTCAACAACGGCCATTGCGGCACTGACTCTTCACTGCTTCTCCAAATCCAACACCCTTTCACCCTTCCGCACCCTCCCTCGCCTCACATGCTCCTTCTCTTCTTCCATCAAATTCAACATCTCCTTCGCCCCTCCCAACCCCAAGCCCAAACCCAACCCCAAGCCCACTCCCGAGCCCCAAACCGACGCCCCTAACGAGCCCGATGGCCCGCTCCTCATCCCGTGGATCGTCCGCGGCGAGGACGGCAACCTCAGGCTCCAATCCGAGCCTCCCCCGAGCTTCCTCAAGGCCATGGCCACGGCCCAAACCGGAACCAAAAAGGACAAGAACCAAACCAAAACCACCGCCACCTCTAAGGCCCAAAAGCCTCGCGCGACGGCGCCGCCGCAGCATTCCAAGGCGGCGCGGAGGTTCTACAACGAAAACATCCGGAGCTCCTCCGCCGCGCGCCTCAGCAAGGTTCTCGCCGCTTCCGGAGGTGAGTTTGTTATAGCGGTTACAGAGTTTGTTATTGCCGGTGCGAGTTAGTTACTGTAACCGTTTTCAGTTGCGTCGAGGAGAAGCTGTGAAGAGCTTATCTTCGAAGGGAAAGTTACTGTGAATGGCTCCGTGTGTAATACTCCTCAGGTTTTTCTTTGTTTCCTGCGATGAATTTCATTTTCTTCAAATTACGTTGTGAATTTCGTGGTTTTTTTTGATTTCGCGCGTGTGTGTGGCGGGGTTGCGTTTTGCAGACTAGAGTTGATCCTGCGAAGGATGTTATCTATGTCAATGGAAACCGGCTTCCGAAGAGGCAGCCTAAGAAGGTTTATCTTGCCTTGAACAAACCGAAAGGGTATGTTAATTGTTAAGGTTTTGTTCGGATAAATTTCTCCATAAGTAATGTTAGAAATGAAAACAAAAATGTAAAATGAATTGAACTTTTCTCGAAAGTGAAAATCAACTTATGCACTTCAGTTTTCGGAGAAGTTAGATAAGAGAACTCAGAACTTTTATTGAACTGAATTTGTAAGTGATGCAAATGCAATTGCATTTCTACAGGTATATATGCTCATCTGGGGAGAACGAGTCTAAATCTGTGATAAGTCTATTTGATGATTACTTAAAGAATTGGGTATGTGACATTTTGAGCTTTCTTAATTAATATTTGATTGATAGTAGAGTTTTTAATTCTTTTCTCTTTATTAGTTATGTGAAAGCATTGGATGACTCTTTTTTGAGATGTGATATATAGGATCTAGATCTGTACTTCACCACTTCTTTCTGCTGCTTATGTAGTCTTCTCTTCTCTATCACGTAAAAGCAATTTTTTTCTTTTTGCAGAGTAAAAAACATGCAGGAGTACCCTTGCCACGGTTATTTACTGTAGGGCGCCTTGATGTTGCTACTACTGGGTTAATTATTGTGACTAATGATGGTACATGATTTGCTGTGAAAGCAGTTTTATCTCCACTGTGTTGATAAATTACTTATGCATGATAGTTTCATCTAATACTTTATGCAATGATGCATGTTTGCAGGAGATTTTGCTCAAAAGCTTTCACATCCTTCATCTAATTTAGCAAAAGAGTGAGTTGATGAGTTTGGTGCGTGTGTGTATGTGTTGTCAATGGAAAGACTTATGCTTCTCTAATGGTTCTTGGGCTGTGAACACAATTTGTACAGGAAGTTTGCTTCAAATATTTTAGATGCGGTTGTGTGTCATAGTGTTTTACTCTTTACTTGCATAGAATGATTGAAAATTGTTAGGTTCTCTCTATATCCCCAAGGCAATCCTAATCTAATGCTTTATTGTGTGATTTAATAACTATGATTTAATGTGTGGTTTATGTTATTTGCTTTTTTGGTATTTGTATTATTATTCCTGGGACCAAGAAAGTCCTTCATTCAAATTAATTGTCAATTCTCTGAAACACCCCGTTTGTTATATCAGATACATTGCAACAGTTGATGGTTTAGTTCACAAGAGGCACTTAATAGCCATAAGTGAGGGAACAACCATTGATGGTGTCCATTGTGTACCTGATGTTGTGGAGTTACTTCCACGTCAGCCAGATATGCAAAGAGCTCGTCTTCGCATTGTGGTAAATTTATCTGTTTTTGTCTGCTATATCAGTTACATTGCCCAATACAAGTTGTAAATTTGGTGTGTAAGGTTGACAAAGTTGCCTTTTTAATGCATTTTTTAGTTTTGTAGGCTGTGTGGTATAGCATAGGTATGGACCTATTGACTTTGTTTCAAATAATGCTACTTTGGATCAATCTTAGGAGAGTCTGGAAACATAATTGGATTTCTCTATCTAAAAAAAAATAAGAAATTATAAACTTCTCTGGCTGTAGTCTTGCTCATAAGTAGAAATGTTTTAGTTGGATAATACTGAATGATTTAATTTTTGCTCATCTTATAAAAACTTGTCAAAGTAATCAATAATGTAGGATATTGACATCCTCATTATCTCAAAATGGCTTCATTTTAGTTTGTTGAATTTTCTCTATCTACTTTTTAGGGCACGTGACATATATGATCAACGTGATCATGAAGAAAGTACAACTGACATTTTTGCTTCATTTAATTTGGACTCACACAGGTTCATGAAGGGAGAAAACATGAAGTTCGTGAACTTGTAAAAAATGCTGGACTTGAGGTTAGCTTAAATCATATAAATTAAATCCTAATATGCTCTGTCTAACTTTCCTCAGAAACCGAAAGTTACAATGCTTAGGCATATGCAATATGCGAAACACGAAATTTAGTGAACCCAATTCCAGTCAAACTGGACACTGTTTCTTTGCTTCAAATTTCTTAGGAGTTTATTTAATTTTGGTAATTGCTAGGCATAACTAATAGATATATAGTGGTGCGATTAGAATTTTTCATGTCTGTATTGTCCACTTTTGATGCACATGGGTTTTCTCACATACATCATCACATATTATCAAACATCCAAATGGTTAAATCTTCAACATAGTTTCATGCTTTCAGAGGAAGAATATATGCCAGGTGGACTTTCTTCACTTGATAGCACTTTCAAAATTTCTGTTATGATAATTTATCTCGGTTGGAAATGGAATAATTCTCTGACCTTAGTTGAATATAATACTCTGCGTGCTGTCTAACTTTCTGTTTTGTAATGTTGAGTAAATTCTTGTTATATGACCTTGCTTTATGTTAAATCCATCAGAAAAATCCCACCAGATTAAAGATTTTTGGTACAGCCTGATGTTGATTACTTTCCACCTTGTCTTTTGTGGTATCTGCTTATGTTTTGGGCTTCAACTTATGGGCATTTTAATTTTGGGAGAGTTTCTATGTATATGATATCTATAGATTGATAACATGCTAAATACTTTTATTTTACTCCATCAGGTAAATGGCTAACTACATGCATTGGTTTCTTGTTTCTGTTTCATATTTCAGATTCATTCATTAAAGCGAGTACGCATTGGTGGGTTTAGACTTCCACCAGACCTTGGGTAATTGTCATGAATCTAATTTCGTCAGTTCTTGAAGTAGTTTCTTCAGATCTAGTAGTAGCAGTATTCGAATACAATCCCTATAATATTTAAATTGAATTCCCTTGTAGTTAAGTGGATGAAAACATTTTTCAACTGTTGTATTTTCAGGCTAGGAAAGTATATCGAGTTAAATCCAACGAATCTAAACGCATTGGGGTGGAAGAGTTAACAAAGTTGCTTCTTAAATTATTTGAGCTAGAAATATTCCTCATTCTTATTAAAAGATTAGAACAGCTCTGAAGCTATTATGAAAATGTTGGTGAACACGTTTGATTTGAGCTGTTGAATTGTTATACCTGCTGCATTGCTTGGAAGAGTTTATGGAATAGTGGCAGCGCACACTACTTTATGGACATGAAGCCAATTTGAGGCTATCGCAATCAAGTATCAACATATCTTTGTAGTCTAGAACTACTACTACTTAGAAGTGATATGACCTTTTCCAATGAAAGTGAAGCCCGGGGATTGCTGGTATGTAAAATGATACAAGTTTAGCCAAGAGCGGTCTGTTCAGATTAGAGGATATGTTGACTACCAAGGGAAAAAGTCCCTAAAATAGAAACTGAAATTGCATGGGGAAAAATTTCTCAATGTAGCCTTATTTGCTATATTTAATGCAAATAGTTTCCTTCAATGCATTTTCTGATTTTCAGTACTTCTTCTTTAAGCAAAAATGAATTTAATGTTTTAATTTCTCATCTTAAAATTTTAGTGATAATTTTCAATACTAATTTTCTTCCAGCCTAATCAAACATATAATTGTTCTAGAAATATTAGACGTTAGCACCCTTTTTGTTCGAAGGTATAATTTAGCCACATGGTCCACTTAATACCACGTATATCTCGCTATGTGGAACAAGGAACGATAATTGGGTTAGAACTTCATAAAATTTTAGGAAAATAATATGTTAACTCCTAAAATTTTATTTCTTATATAAATAGGCGTCTTAAATTTTAGGTTTTTTTATTATTTAAACTTAATTTTGATTTCATCTCAATTCTTAAAATATACCTATTTTGTAAATAGTCACGAGATTAATAATTGCTTTTAAAAAGTGAAAGTTCAAAAAAAAAATCTGTGATCCATAAAAAAAAAAAAAAATTAAAAAGACGGCGGTGAAAGTTCAATTTAAGTGCAAGAGGATACGAGTCAGATATAAAAATAATCAAGCGGGCGTCCCTTCGACAAAATTTCAATTTTACACTAGAAAAGGCCACAAATACAATATTTTAGCATGAAAAATATACACGTGAATTTTCAGGTTGTTGAATGAAAATGCTCATCACACCCAAACTCAAGACCCCAAAAATAGAGATTAGAGAGCGAGCGAGCGAATTAACCCATAAGGAAAGCAGCGGCAACCAAAATTGACGGCACATTACATTACAAACAACTGGCATTGCCATCACCAATGACAGAATCAAAACCATCTTTTAACTACTCAGTTGTAACTTGCGGTAAGATCGGACATCTGCTTCGGCTTGTTGCATCAGCATTTTTCAGAAATATGAATTTAGCACCCCAACATTCCAAAAATTCTGGTACAGAAACTAAAGAGAATATTCTACATGGATAATATATCAGATACTCGATCTTGTGCGTCAGGAGGAATTTCTCGTCCTGGAACCTGGATATTAAGAAGGTTGGCATACCTGTAGAATATTTGTCAATATAATTCCGTAAAAGGGTATTATCAACTAAAATTTGCATAAACTTACTCAGCAGGTGTGAACAAGTGTATATGTTCTGTAATGAAGGCAACCAAGGCCTGCAACAGGAATAAATAAGAATACTTAGATAAGATGACGTGACAAAAATTACAACCAACATAGAACCATTAGTTGAATTGACTTGCCTCAAATGGCATGTTCAATAGTTCATAGTAGGTGCGGACTCGATCCAGTCTCTGTTGCACTGCTTCACTATCTATGGATGGAATGGCTGCCAGTGCCTGTACCACCATCCAAAATTGTTATGGCTGTAAAATTTCATTGTCTAATTCTTGAAAAGTTATATGCAACAAGCAATGTATATATATATATATATATATATATATATATATATATATATATATATATAGACACACACATACACACTCACATCACTGAGAAACAATAATTACCTGTTCCAATGCAATAGCATTTCGGCATATTTGCTGAACACCAAAAAGATTTATCGAGTTCATATCCACCAACGCCTAAAAAGTAAATAAGAGCACTCTATCATTAACAGTGAAAGAAAGGAAGCGATAGAAGTGATTTAACTGAAATACAGTTCTAAACATACGAGCAAAAAATAAAAAACTGCAAAAAAATATCACACCTTAATAGATGCATTTGCTGCAACCCCACATATTCCACCAAATATGTAATTCCGCTTTGCATTTGAAATAAAAGGAGCCATTTCCTCATCTCTTCGTGTTATCTGGGGATTCCATTTACAAGGTAAATATACAGAGTGACTTGCATAAGCATATCCTACATCCGAGACACTAAACATGAAGAGCAGACTCTGAAATTCGTCTGTACATTATAGTAGACTGTTTACTTTTGAAATTGGGATGAAAGTAATATTTCATAGTCTTCAGTACTAAATCAAATAATTTAGAATTTATGGATTAATTGGTTTAGTAAGATGGTATTACAATCTTATTCAGTTTAGCTTTAAAACCTTGTGATATCACGGTATTTAGTCATTCCTGCATTCCTTAGTCAAGGAATATACACCTTCTCCTAAATCCAATATTCAACTTGAATGTTCCGAAATAAATATGCCTATAGCCTATGTAAAGCTGTTAAATCTTGTATTACACATCCTCTATCCAAATTTGTGTCATACTTGACTTTATCTTCATCCTTTGACGCATTTACCTATCAGTTGTCAGGTATAGAAATTGAAAAAAAAAGTACTGGAAGCTCTATAGGTTCCGAAGTGAAAGGAAACAGTTCTTGAAGAGATGAGAGCTCATGAGAAGAAACATACTACAAGTATTATGCCACTACCAATTGGGAAGAATACTGTGGGTTATAAATAGGTTTTCACAGTGAAGTATAATTTTGATGGCATGGTGGAAAGATACAAGCCACGATTGGTGACTAAGGGATTCACTCAAGATATCTAAGCACCAACTTGGGGGTGTAGGAATTAAAGATATTGCAGATTTCATCATTGTTATTTGTTTTTATTTGTTTCCTTCTATTATTTCTTGAATCAAGAAGTAGACCTCACTGCAAAATTTCTCTATAAGCAGTACATTTGCTGCAGAATAATATATGAAAGTTTCCCTATTACTTTCTAGTTTTTACAATAACTATCCTTAAATTTGAAGAATTCATTAACATAAGAAGGTTTATAAATCAGGATGATCATGAATCATCACAAGGCTACGCAGAAACTCAGAGAAAGTTACATGAGAATCTTCATGAAGACAAAGCAACATACAAATATAGAAAGACGCACCTGTGCAGTGAGTGAAATGATGAAATCATCTGGCTCTTCGGCATCTTGGTCATCCAAGTATTCTGTATTTGCCATTTCCTGCTCAAAATTGTGATGCTCAGTTAAATTTGGACATGATTAACTACCAAATATTTATTCCTTACACAACAAAGACAAATAAACTCACAAGTGACAAACCTGCATATGGAATATTGTTTCCAATTGCATCTCTATACGTAACACCTTGAGGCAATCAATTGCCAGTTTCCTATAATCTTGAGCAAATGAAGCTAGACTCCTTGTAGGTGCACTATCTGAACGACTGTGATGGTATTTTCCTCCAACATGATTTGATGTTCTTTGAGTTGTCTGTCCAAGCCTGCAAGTTTATAAAGAATTTTAAGTTCCACAATTATGCTCTAAAATTTTGATAAGAGGGGTCTTGAGCATATGATGCTCAATATCTCTCGTTAATGAAACCAGTAAAACGAACCCAGCTCCATACTGCTCATTAAGGAAAGAAAATGGTATGATGCTGATTATATTATATCATTCAAACATGTTATAGGTGGGATATCAGTATCAGTAACATGGATTTACAGAGGAAACATAGATCAGAAATTTGGAAAGTAAATGTAGATTGTTCCAAGGCATTCAAGAGGCCTTGGTCTCACTCTCCTATGTCTCTCTACTAAGTCCTCCCCACCTCCTTTTCCTTTAATCCCACTCCTAACTGAATCTGCCCCCTTGGCCTACCTGCCAATGGCCAGGTTGTTACAATGTGAACCCACCTCTTTTTATCACATTTCTTTGTCCGCCACTTTCCACATGAATTGTGGCCCAACATATGGGGGGCATCTATCAGAGATCCAAGGAGAAGAAATAGAGAAAATAAGATCTTAATACTCTGAATGTGTGTTACATTGACTAACACAACATCCTTATAAAGAGTATGAGTATGAAGCAGCTTATACCCTTTACTTAGAGTGCACCACATGTAAATCTTATATTGGCTACGACACAATAAAATAAAAGCTATTTCAACAGTCATCATCCCATTTTTCCCCATTTGCCCCATCATGAAGGAAATGAATAATATATGATACAAGATTTAAAAAACAACAGAGGAGAACAAGATCTCTTCTAGACAAAAGAAAAAGAAAGCCAGTAAACAAATATTTAACACAAAGCCCCAACCTTATTACTGTATGCTAGAGGAACTTTCCTCAAAAAGAAGGTATGCCAAACACCATTGAGCAGCCAAGTGAGGAAATGTCTCAGGGTTAATGAGGCCAACATTTCATTAATAAAGCTTGCAGAATTCTTTAACTGAAAATACCACACTATAGAGAAAGCACTGCACAACTCAGATAAAATTGACTTCTTTCGAGCAACACCTTAATCAATTATAAGAAGTTGAAGAACAGACTCTCCGCTATTAGAAGGCAATAGCCCACAAACTCCTGGTCACAGAACAGCACACAAGACAAACATTCTGAAAATATTTGGATCTCTTCATGAAATAACACACTCCTAACTCCTTCTAATTTTATTGTGTTGAGGTTGGAATCTACTATTGAACAAAAAACAAAAACATCATCAAAAGGTTCAACTTGTGCACTTTGCTCTCTTATACCCTCCCCAAAATGCATGGATATCCCACCAGAAAATACATACAAGGTTTGCCTAACTCATAAATCTTGCCATCAAATAATCTTGTCAATCAAATAGGGGAGGTAAACATGTAAAATGTGAGATTGTAACTTGAAAAGCAAGATTTACCCATAAAACAATAATATTCAAGAATAAAAACACAATAAATACATAAAAATAACACATGAACATAATAACATTTTCCAATTCAAAATGTATATTAGATGGAACTTGTGATTTAGTAAGAAAGTACAACTTGTCTAACAAACGAGTAGAAATTGTAGAAGCAGTGCAAATCAAAACTCCATAGAAACAGCTTAGAGGCCTAGCTAAAATGCAAGCCGAGTAGTCACAAACCTTTGAAACTTTTGAACCAAATCAGAATGGTTGGTATGCAAGCCAGAGGCTCAGGAAGCAGAGTCATCCACAAGTATAAACCCTATTGAGAAAAACTTATGTCCTGCTTATCCTAGATCATTTAAAAAGGATCACTCACCGATTATTCAAACACCAAGCCCAAAAGTGCTGACCATTTGGGTAATCCTCACCTTACAAGCAGATTT